TTGGTCGTCTACTTGATTCACCATTCTTTGTTGCGAACGGTTGCTGTCCAGCATCATTAACAGGCTGAAAATTCAAATTTCCTCCCAGGAAATCGATTTCCCCATGTGGTAAATCAATTTCTGGGCCTGCATTTCGAATCTCAGCAGTTTCAGGAAGTGCAATTTCGGGCTAAAAATTGATTTCCCCTTTCTGAGAATCAATTTCCTAGACTGGTATAGCAGAAATTCTGCTGTCAAAAGTATGAATTTCATCCACGATCACGTCTCGACTAATCATTATCTTCTTGCTATTCATATCGAACAACTTGTAGCCTCCGGTAGGATGATAACCAACAAGCAACATTTTTTCACCCTTGTCATCTAACTTCTTTCGAAGTTGACCCGGAATATGTCGAAACGCTACCGAACCGAAAACACGTAAATGACTCAAACTTGGTTTGAATCCGAACCATACCTCTTCTAGAGTAACCTTTTCAAGCTTCTTTGTAGGACACATATTCATTAAATAGGCGACAGTAGAGACGCCTTCACCCCAAAGCTCTTTTGGTAAATTCTTCGGTTTCAACATGCTACGCACCATGTTCATAATCGTCCGACTTTTTCTCTCGACAACACCATTTTGCTGAGGCGTATAAGGTGGTACAACCTCACGTACTATACCCTCGTCATCACAATAACTCCTAAATTCACCCGAAGTAAATTCGCCTCCACCGTCGGTTTTAAGAATTTTGAGTTTGTGACCTCTTTGTCGCTCAACCATGGATTTGAACCGTTTGAACACTTCAAACAGCTCATCCTTCCTCCTAATGAGATAAACCCATAGCTTCCTACTAAAATCATTAATAAAAGTGACGAAGTATCGGTTGCCTCCATACGAATTGACTTGCATTGGTCCGCAATGGAATACACCACCTCAAGGTGATGCTTGGTCCTATAACCCGCATCCTTATTGAAATTACTCTTATGTTGCTTCCCTTGCACACACTCATCACATATTTCAGCTGGAATATTAATTCGTGGCAGCCCGAACACCATACCGTGCCTATGTAACGCGTCGAGGTCTCGAAAGTTGAGATGCCCAAGACGGTAGTGCCATAATCATTCTTCACGACTTGCAGCAGTAGCTAAGCACCTATGCTCCATAACTTTCAACTCAATCTTGAAAGTTCTATTGGCAGCCATAGGAGCCTTAAGGATCAAAACACCGTTTTGGTCCAAAACGCGCAAAATCTTGTTTTCCATGCGAACCGTGTAATTTCTTTCAAGCAATTGGCCAATACTTAAAAGATTACATTTGATTCCAAGAATATACAATACATCTTTGATCAAGGAATGACCACCATCCCTTCTCATGATCAAAACATCACCGGCACCATCGGCCACTAAAGTCGTGTTATCCGCCAATCTCACTCTACTTCGCGTGGCTTGATTGATCTTCAGAACCAATCTTTTCTACCCGTCATATGAGTCGAACAACCAGAATCCAAGTAGCACTCATCACTACCTTGAACTCCATCTCGAACCGTTACCAATGCGTTTTTCTCCGATTACGTTTTCTGCACTTTTTCGGTACTGCAGTAGTTGTTGTCCAGCAACTTTCTACTGCTGTCCATGTCATTATTCTCCTCCGTAATCACCATAAGAAGCGTATTTTCATCATTTGTGTCTTGCCTAGCTATCTTAGCCTCATCCGCATCATTTTTTTTGCGTTTTGAGCGACATTCTCTCGAAAAATGCCCAAACCTTTGACAATTATAACACTTCATGGAACTTTTGTCGAGTGGTTTGTAGACGCTTTGATTACCCTCTTTGGAGCTTCCTTCACCCTTTAGCCCCTTTGAATTTTGTGGATCTTTTCCACCAAAATTTTGGAAATTCTTCTTACTTCTAGAAGACCATTTCCCTTTCGATCTCTTGTTCTTTTCATTTAAACGAGCTTGCAAAGCCACTTCCGCTTTTGCCTTACTGTTTCCTCTTTCATCCAACCTTTGTTCATGAGCTTCCAATGAGCTTTGAAGCTCATCTTTGGTCATAGTCTTGAGGTCCTTCGATTCTTCAATCACAACCACAATGTTATCGAATTTAGGTGTTAAAGAATGCAACACTTTCGATACAATATTCTGCTTCGAAACAGCTTCACCGCAAGACTTCATTTGATTCACCAAACGCGTAACACGCGTCACATAATCGTTGACCGTTTCCTTTTCTCCCATTTGAAGTAACTCGAATTGACGTTTGTGAGTTTGTAACCTCACAACTTTCGCTTTGTCTGCCCCTGCATAAGCCTTCTCAAGAATTCCCCATGCTTGCTTTGCCGAGTCACAATCGCCAATTTTCTCAAAGTTGTCACTATCGATGCAAGAATGTATCAAGAAAAGGGATTTGTAGTCTTTCTTCTTCTCTTATTTGTGAGTAGCTTGCTAGGCTGCAGTAGCCTCTTCAACAAGAGGAGTAACATCGGTGGTAACCACATCAAGCACATCTTGATAACCGAACAAGACTTTCATTTGTTTGCACTATTTATCGTAGCTCTTCGAATCAAAAATTGAAAGGTTGGTGGGTATTTTATCGTTTGAAACAGACATGATTGCAGCGGAATAGGATCAGAATCAAGCTTGTGATGCCAAATGTTGGAACAAGATCAAACTTGTTCAAGGTGAATCAATGGTGAAAGTTGTTATTATCGTGATAGAAAGATTAATTGAGAAAGACGATGAAAGAATAGAGAAAATTGAGATGAGAATCTTGAATGCCATTATCTAAGAATATTTTTTATCTTATGGTACAATTGTGGTCTATTTATAGTGTACAAACCACTAAACAAACAAAAACCAATTACACTGCATTTGACTTATTCTAATCATCCAACAGTTAATTTGTGTGATAAAATGTTAACTATCGTTGAGTTTGCATGTCAGATAAGCAACTTTTGTGTGAAAATATTTCTTTTCTTTAAAAGACAAGACATCTTCATCCTATTTACTGCGACCTCTGTATCTCCTAAAAAAATCAAATTGATGTCACTGACACATCTTAAAAGTAGAATTCAGTAAATTATAAGATTGAAAAAAAAAAGACATTATAAGATATAACTTATGATAACTAACAATGTAAGAATCTATTAAACATTAAAAAAAATTATTTTCCAACAACCATTGATTAAAAATATAAACTTTAATGGAACAAGAGAATTAAAAAAAATTCATTTCACAAAACTAACAATAAACCAACCTTTCAAATTAAATCAAAAGCCTTTCTCCAAACAATTAAATCCAAGTCACCATTTCACAATCTCATCAAATAATCCTCTCTAAGCAACTGTTCAATCTCCTTTTCAACGATAATCCTCACAATTTCCTCACTTTGCGCAACAAAACACACAAATGATTCCGATCCAAACTTTCAAAATATAGAAGATTAAATGTAGCACTGTCAAAGCTTTCAACTATGTTCAATCTCCTTTTCAACGATAATCCTCACAATTTCCTCACTTTGCGCAACAAAACACACAAATGATTCCGATCCAAGCTTTCAAAATATAGAAGATTAGATGTAGCATTGTCAAAGCTTTCAACCATGGATGAAGCTTATATGAAAATAGAGAACACCATCAAAAGGGTAAGACTAAAAATTAAAACTTTGTTGGTGATTTTGACTAAATAAAAAAACACCAATGACATTGATTAAACATGAAAGGAGAGTGTGAGAGTAATGAAAGGGATGAACTTTATGTAGGAAACAAGTTTGTAGATTTAGGGTAAAAGAAATTACTGAGACAAAAATGATAATAGTATTCATGAACCTTTCAGTTTTTTATTTTATTTATTTCTAATATGTAAAGCAATATAAAATATAAAAAAAATTCAAATCAACTTTAAATAGTCCAGCAAATTTCTAATATTTAAATTAATATAAAATAAAAAAATTTCAAGTCAACTTTAAATCAATATAAAATAAAAAAATTTCAGGTCAACTTTAAATGTTTCAACATGGCTACATTTAACGTTTTTCGTAAAAAAAATTAACGGAAAAAACCAAAATATGTAAACCAAAATATATAACGGAATGTCAAAAAATTAACGGAAAAAACCAAAATATGTAACAGGAATGTCAGTTAATAGACTACTTTGTAACGTTTTTTAATTAAGGTAGCAAAACATTAAATAAAATTAAAAGATCAAAAGAGGTATTAGGTCTTTTTTTATAAATATTGTGTGGCACTAGTTAGCGCATGACCCAAAAAAAATGCAGAGATGCCAATCAGCATTAAATGGTTGGAAATGCTCGGTCCACTCTATCCACAGCCAGCCAGAAGGTTGGTAAGGACTTAAGAATAAACCGAAGAATAAACCAAAGTCCGCGTGAGACAAGTCAATATAGAATGCTAACACTAAGTTTAACAAAATATCTGTTTCAATAAAAACTATGAATAGGAATGATTTGTGAATAACTTAATTGTTGGAGAACGGTTACAATCAAATTGAATACTAGCAAACCTAACTGTACATGTGAAGAGAGTGGAATCCTGTTCTAAATGCGTGAAAGAAAATCAAATGACGAAGAAAATATAAAGCAGTCAGACTAGGTCTCTACCTCGTATCCACCACCATGCCTCATTCTTCAAAATTGTTTTAAGACATTTGATGTTTCCCTCTCTCCAACACTTAATGCGTGACGAGTCGTAAATTTGATAGAAGTAAACTTGATATGAAGGTACCGTGTATAGGAAGTTAATCATGTCAGAAATCTTGGTTGTCGTTACAATCTATGGTTCTTCAGGCGTTACAATCTATGGTTCTTCAGGTGAGGTGAGTGGCATGACATTTGCAACATTGAAAATTAAAACAAGCTCTGCGGGACTCCTCCAAAATACTATCTGAGAAACAAACAAAGGTGGTGACTCAGCCAAGTATTTATACGACTGATATAATTTGCCACAGAACTGGTAATGATATAGCAGAGTCCAACTCCATACTCTAGAGAAGTGATTCTCTTACCTGTTATTTGGTTGAAGAAATCCGTCGCAACGAAGGCATCCAGCTGCTTGAAACATGGGAGTTACTACCAAATACACGACTTAGGTTTGAGGTTCCTGTGGACCTTTCAGGCTTCGAGACCACTCCTGTAGTTGATTTTTGCAAGGCAGATGAAGTGGATGAACCATTGTTCACATTCTGCAAAAAGTTATTTCAATCAGTTGAATATCTTCAGCCAAGTAAAAACTCAAAACGATTGAACTAACAGCCCAAACATTATGAGAGAAGTGAAGCTACTGTGTTGTCAGAAGAAATAACTGTGACTTACATGTTTTTCAGTATGATTCCTGGCATTCGGTTTCTTAACATTGGATGGCTTAGGATGCACACGCGTGTTTGGACGATCAAGATTCGTTAGCAGTTTTGTTACAGTAAATTGAGGAGAACTATTGATTCCTGAAAAGGGAGTAGATGCACAGGAATCAGAATGTGATGGGTATATTGCATTATTAGTCCACAATACTGCAAATTTTTAAGTCTAGATTAGCTCAACACTAGTACAGCAGAGCAAAACCTCCAAGTGAAAAGTATTTATAGTATTAATGATTACATGGAAATTGTTGGTATATATTAGTAGAATATGTAAATATAACAATTTTACTATTAATATTAATTGTAAGTGTTCAATAGAATCATAAGCATATACTTGTATTGTTTATATATACTCCCATTCACCCTGCCCAAACTGTTCCAAATATCACCAATTTCATCAAGATGACGCTTAGTATTGAAAAATGCACATATAATGTGTTGTCCAAACTATTCAAAATTCAGGCAAGAATTTAAGTATTTGATCACATAATTCCTTCCTCACCCACCGGGTTAGAAACGACACCCTCTCTCAAAACCATGATCCCCAATTATGGCTTCGCCTTGAAGCTGTTTATTTGCCGTGGATATATGGAACAACCTCCGATGATTTACTCGACACCATCATCGAACACGATTCCACCGCTGAAATCAATTGTTTGACATCTTTTACGAGAACAAAAATTCTAGGACTACCTAGAACAATAGTTTTCGCAACCCCGTATGGAACAATTCTCTGACGCATCCTCCTTCTGTCAACATCTCAAGTCTCTCTCTAACCAACGGACTAATGTTTGTGCACTTGTATCTAATGAACGGTTGGTTCTTCAACTCATTTCAGGGCATACGATACTGTAGGATCTCAAATTTGTCACGAGAACATTACTAATCATTGAGGCCGGAGCAATGGCGGCCTTCACAGACGAGGAAGAGGTTATGGACGTGATGGGGGTCGTTCCCCACAACAGCAGTGGCATTCGTCATTCTACCCGCATCAGCAGAGGGCCTATCCATCGTACCTTAACCAACATCAACAATTGGGCTCCTCATCGCCGCAGCCATGGGCCACGCCACCTTGTTCATATCCGACAGCATATCACTCAAGCAAACAACCCGACATTCTTGGTCCGAAGTCATCTCACCAGGCTCATGTTGCAAATGCAGTGCCCAACATACTCATATGCTCCAACGGACATTCAACCTGCTATGCATACCCTCACTATTTCTCCTTTTGATGATTAGTGGTGCATGAACATTGGGGTTGTATTCATTTGACGGCAAATGGAGCTAATCTCATACCTTATTTAAATATGAGCAACAATTAAATACTTCTATATTTCATGCCCTCTTGGGAAATAAATAAAACTACTTTTTAAAACTCTCTCATACTCATGCCTTTTGAGATCTTAGTTCAGAAGGTCATCATTACTATGTGTTATTTCTTGATGACTACACAAAAACGTTACTATGGTACATATATATGACTACCAGAAGAATGAAAAGGCACAGCCAAAAATTTTCTTACAAATATTCTTCAAACTTGACAAATGACAACTATCTTAATTTTTTGTACATCAGAACTCAGAAGCTACTATATTATGGTTCAGAAACAAGAAAGTTCCATGAAAAGTAACCAATCTGCGAATCACTTCAATCACACATGGCATGAACATAGAAGACTAAAGTTACCTGTGCGCTTTTCCACAGCCGATGGTTCCATACTGCTAGGAACAGCACTAGGCACAGCATCTGAAGTCTGCAAATGGTCATTGACTCAAAAGTGAGAAAGAGAATAAAACCAGGAAACTTTAATAATCAGGATTCAGGCTATCAGAAAATCCATGTGCATTCTAGTAAAAGCAAGCTAAACCATAATTAAATAAATATTGAAGGTTCAAAATAAAATACTAACAGATGATTGATTCTGTCTCCTTGTCTGTTGCACCTGCCGATTTCTTAGGATGGTCCAGTCGAATAAATTGTCATACTCATATCCTGCTCATCAAATTAAGCCAAATAAGCTTCTTATGACATCAGGGGAGAAGGTAAATACAACACAGGAGACCACCAGAAACAACTTTGAAACACTAAGATCGGTAGTACGTGATACAGTTAAATATCTTATTCTTAACATAGAATTTGCAAAACGTGAAACATGAATTTATCCTTATGGAGAAGATAGGTTAAATACAAGGTAGCATTCATTTATAATACCTACAACAGTCAACAGGCTAAAGCAATCAACCAATAAGCAAACTATCATTAACAATGTGATATATGTCCAATTGAGAACAATTATTTAAAATCAAATGTAAGATTAAAAAGATAAGTCAATACCTTCACAATTGAACAAATCACGAAACAGACGCTTTAAGAATCCATAATCTGGATCTTGATCAAATGCCAAAGAGCGACAATAATGAAAGTAAGAAGCGAACTCCACCGGATATGATTCGCAAAGCGTCTAGAACAAGAAATATAGATTCATTAAACTTCTGAGTAACAAAAAAAATTCAATAAGAAAACCTCTGAGGAAAGGATTAACTAAAATTTGATTAATTCAGTAATAGCAATCCTTAAAAGCTCTTCTTGTTTTTGCATAATTCATCACCAAAATCTAATCCATTTTTCTAATGCCCAAAGTATAAGGGCAAGAAGAAAAGAAAATTAAAAACTAAATTAGAGGTCAGGGGTTAGTCATTTTATGGAAATGAAAATTTATACCTCAATGGGAGTTGATAACTTCTTCTCCCGAATCTTGTTATATTTTTCCTCTTTGGTGACAGCTTTCAGTCCCTGCCAAGGAAGGCTAAAATGCAAGAACCGTAGAGTCAAGCCCTAATTTTACATTAAAAGTATGTGCAATTGATACTCATATGCAGTGAATAGGAAGAAACATACCTTCCTCTTAAGAAGTACATAAGAACATAACCAATAGATTCCAAGTCATCACGACGACTTTGCTCTGATGAAATTAAACCAAAATAGAGTCAAAATTGTAGGTTACAAGTTGTAACTGTAAAGAAGGAGATTTATTTTAACATACCAATTCCTAAGTGAGTATTGCAACTTGCATATCGTGCAGTCCCTGTTAAATTTTTCTTCTCTCTGTATAAGTTTATCAATGTCAAACCATTAGGCAATGATAACCTTGCTAGTTAAACTGGCAAAGCAAAAGTAACAGTGAGAATGAAACATTCAAAAGAGTTCGAAAAGGAATTATATGAGATTACAGAGAGTACAAGTTGGAAGATTTTCCATTGATAAACAACAAAGTACATTTAATTTGAAAAAGAAAAAAAAAAAGAAAAACCATTTTAACAAAATACACATAGAGGATGGTATAGGAAAATAGGCAATGGTCACACCAGTAACAGAAGTGTTCAATAATTAGAAGATTTGAACTAACAAAAAACTAGATTGAAGGCATCTATTAAATGTTATCCAATAATCAACTTATCTTCCATTCGGATAATCTTCCCATTTTTTACTGCATACATGATATTAAAACAATCAGGTTTCATTCTAGCAAACCTCTAGAACTTTTGTAAGGCATTGAAAGGAAGAAAAAAAGAAGAAACTGTATCACTTAGTAAACTTTATGGTGAAAACAACTTTTAACGATTTTCAAAAGACTTATAACCTTGAGCAGAAACATTTCTCACATCATAAATTCTTGCTGAAAAATCAATAAGAAATCATCTTGTCAAATAGAAAAGTAATCAAATGTAATATATTTATCACACAAGAAAACCTTAGAACACAGGCCAGATATGTAAAACAATGATCCAAAATACAAGAATAAAAAATATAAATAAAATTAAACAGAGCAAAATATACCTGTAAGCAATATGCAATTTTGTTTTGGGGTCCCGATATCTTTTTGCTAGTCCGAAATCAATAATATAAACCTATGAATGCACCAAATTGTGAAAAGAAAATGTAAGAAAGAAGAAGCATAAAAGGAATTATAGGAGATGAAAATTATCAACATAAGTTAGCCGTTGATTGAAGATGATGAATTTGGATGACTTTACCTGACTTGATTTCCTCCTAATACCCATTAGGAAGTTATCTGGTTTAATGTCTCTATGTAAAAATCCCTTGGAATGTACGTATTCTATTCTCGTAAGCTGTAGTCAAGTAAATAAAACAGAAATCATTTTACATTAATGTGCTTTCATTGAAAACCCATGTCGTTGGGAGCATTAACTGCAAGAGGCAACTTCTAGATAATAAAACTGCTACTATATTGATATGCAACAAACATGGGAATTATTTTCCAAACCAATATCTAAAATCAGCAAGAAACTAATGCTGCCTCACGCAAACCAAAGGAAACAATCCAAACATGAATCAGTCATTACCATCTGGTCAGCCAACATCAAAACTGTTTTTAAAGAAAGCTTGTTCCCGCAGAAGACAAAAAGATCTTCCAGACTACGTCCTAGAAGATCCATAACCAGAACATTATGGTCTCCATCAGTACCACACCATTTCATATTTGGAATACCACCTAAAATCCAAAGTGTAAAACGAATCAGAAAAAAAAAACAAATAACATAACCTTCAAATATCGTAACATCATCTAAAAACACACAAATTCTTCTTTTATAACTCACTTTCTCCTTGAAGAATACTATACAATTTGGCCTCTTGCAATAGTTGTGGATGCCTTGTATTCTTCTTCTCCTATAAAATAGAAATGCAACTACTATGAATCAATATAAGACCTTGTACATAGCTCTCGAACAATATAATACAAACGAATGTCAAAAATATAGGGAAAAAGAGCAGAGCATACACCTAGCAAGTATAGTTAGCTTCATTAAAAATTGACAAGTTTTTTTTGGCTGGTAGACGACGTGGTAATAACCACTAGAAACTCACACACCGAGTACAACCTAGCAATAACGACTTCTACTAGTTGAGCTGGCTTCTACGGTTGAGCTAGGATTTGCAGACATTGACCGAAGTTTTTACTTATAAGGATCTAATCACTATATCCAAATCAAAAAATCAAACCCTACCCTAACTCAGTTGTATCAAACCACGTAGATCCAACTACAAAATGTTGATATGATCAAGAAAAAATCAACTATTCCTTAGATCACCAGAGAGTCAACTAAAGCAATGAGTTATCATGACTCTAAAGTAAACGTAAGAAACAAAAGTTATGCAAACTCACAAGTTCCTAAAAAATACAAAAAAAAAATGAAAAAATAAATTAAAATTTAAAATTCAAAGTAAGCAAAAATTGAATAATGAAATCAAACCATTTTAACGGCTACGATCTCAGAGTTATCCATATCCGAAGCTGAAACAAGCAACAAAAAAACTCAGCAAAAATCATAACCAGCATATACATAGAAAAATACATTTAAATAAAATACTAATCTAATAAATAACCAGATGAAAAAGTTCCCTACCGATGAAAATTTCACCAAACGAACCGCTTCCGATTTTGCGACCTATCTTAAACTTGCCGCCGACAACCCACTCCATGTTGAACAGGCCGGCGAACCTTATCCGACGACGATAAGAAACGATAACGACGATACGTGACGCGATTCAACGGTTGATTCGACGGGAAGTTGTTAGCGGCAATGAACGGAAAAATAGGGTTTGGTGAAGATAAAGATAAAGGAGAGAAGGAAGAAGAGAGAAATTGAAAATGGATTGAAAGAATAAAGATGAAGCAGAAAATATAAAAAGTGAGGTTAATTTAGGAAATAGATAGATAAAAATCGTTTTCAAAAGTCGGTTGGTGGATTATCTGTACAAGCTAGCACTCAACGTTATTCTTGTTATACCTTACTCGTTTCCGAGTAAATTACTATATCGTCCCACGTGGGAATTGAAAAACACGCTTTTCTAACTTTTTCTTTTCTTGCAGACACTAGTTTTTCTTTTAATTTTGGTAATAAATAAATAATAAATTGGAATGGATAAACATAATCTGAGTCAGCAGGATAAAATAATAACTCACTTTATTTCCTCGTGGATAAATAACTGTAGATAAATTTTTTTAGATTCGGATCTGTTGGGATTATTATTCCGCATTTGGCAAATGGATTTTTGTTTTTTTGTTTTGGATAAAATACAGGTGCCACGTTTTTGTTTCGGAATGGAATTGAATTGGATAAGGCTGTTATTGAGTTGGAAATTAATTACTCCCAATTTATTAGGAGTGCTCAACCGGAAATCTATATTAATTAAAATAATAATAATGGATAACGATAAACTTTCTTTAATTTTTTATATTTTCAAACAAATTAAAAATATTTTATTAAATAACCATTTGGTGACTTGCGTAAAATAATCTAATAATTATATGACGATTTAGCTACTCAAATAAAATTAAAAGTAATTATTATTATTTGACAGGTACTAAATTAAAAATTTTATGCAAATAGCTATCATTATCAATTTTATTTTTATAATAATATCATTTCTATCTATTTTTCAAATAATTGACTTTTAAAAATAAAAGTGATTGAATAAATAAGAGGTGTTGTCTGGTGATCTTGCATTTCCAATTAAAAAATAAGAGATGTCTTTAATTAAATTGGTGATTGAATATGGTGTAGTTGATTTAATTAATGACTATATGTAATTTATAAGAGGTATTGTCAATTAAATTATCATCTTTATTTAAAAAATATGAGTTATCACCACTTAGGTGTTGTACACAAACGATTAATTGACGTTAGTTCTTGCATGTAGTCGACAATAAGATTAATTATAATCACATGAAATTTTCAATTCAATTGACGATACTTTTTATTTTTTAAATGGAGGCGACAATTTATCTGACAAGACTTTTTTGTTCTAAAAAACATTGTTTAAAATTAAAATATTTTTAAAAATAGATGAAAATAATGGTTATTATAAAATAAAATTGAAAAATTGGATTATTTACATTTTTAATTTATTAAATTATTATTTAGTGACTAATACAATTCTTATTTCTTACTAGAAATAGTCTCATTTTATTTTTTGTAATGAATAAATTTTATTTTATCAAATCATAATAATACCTTCGACTCATTAAATAAAATAATTTCTTTTAAATTTTTCTATCAGCTTATGTTATTCTTCGTATTAAAAATATGTGAATCTAAATATTTTTAAAAAAAAATATTAATTTTAATAATAAAAAATAATTTCTTTTACTTTTAAACAAAAGTAACTTTTCTTTTTCTTCAATACATTAAATTATATTAATTCACTTAAAATCAAATAACAAATTTTAATATATTTTTAAAATGAGTACAACATAATATTCAAAATGTGTAAAAATAATTAATATTCAAAATGTGTAAAAATAATTAATAAGTACATAATAACTTGCTATTGAACCTAGAATTCTACTAAGGTTTTGATGCTATAAATAAATTTTTAAAAAACTCTTCTATTTGATTCATTAAAAAGAAATTCTTGTACCGGTAATAGTTCTGTGTAATGGAGATCAGACCAATGGGAATTTTCAAAGTTGCCGAATTTTCTAATGGTGCAAAGAAATTCCATGGAAATTTCTAGAAGAGGAAAGAGGATCAGACCAATGCTATCATGACTGAAGCAAGAAGGCCTCACCATGGACCTCAATCTGTTGATCATCATGTTGTTGCTACTGTTGTTGCTCCACAACCAGCTCAGACTCCTCAACGTCCAGCTGTTAGACAGAACCAGTATCGGAATAGGAATTAATTTGATCCTATTTCCATGACTTACACAGAAATATATCCTGACCTGGTTCGACAAGGGCTGATCACTACAAGGGCTTTACCACCTCCTCTTAATCCTCCTCCAGCTGGATTTAAGGCTGATCTACATTAGAGCCTAGTTCAAGAATGAATCACACCTAACACATAACTTTATCCAGGGATAAAAAACAAACATGAGGAACAAACTCACACACAACAATCTTGCTAACATCAATTCAAATTATGCATTCATCTCATAAAACTCATGTTGAAAGTATAAAAGCAAAAATCACAAGGGCTTTAAAGGTTGTAATGTGTCTTGCGTAACAAACAATTGTTTTTCTCAAGGTAAAAGAAACAAGAATTTGTCTAATCAAATGAGAGTGATCATTTCTCACAATCTCAAGCATTCAGAATTTCCAATCACATTTTTCTCTTTTCCAAATTGATACATAATTCTACACAACTTATTAGCACAATATTATCCTGTTTTTTTTTTCTTTTTCTAGTCCTTTTTCTTTTCTTTTTTGCTTTTTTCTTTCTTTTTTAATGTTTTTCTTTTTCTCAACCATTTAACAACCCACCTTTCTTCTCCCCAACTTGAATACAACCAATCATGTAAAGTGAATGCTCCCAAACTTATTAGGTAAGGATAAAAACTCAAATAACAAGTCATGATTATGATTCAAGAAAAAATATTAGAATCCATACAAAAATGAGCTCAACACTAACATGTATTCTAACAACGGCTCAAAGGGGTTAAGCAAATTCTCACTCACTCGTAAGATAGATTGACTATTTGGTAAAGTGGTTGTGCTCAAAATTAAACAAAATACCTTGATCGTTTTAGTGCTATCATATAAATCAACACAAATACAAGATTAAACATAATTCAAATGCGTTAAAGAAGAAAGTTGGTCTTCATGCAATTTAGTAAACAATTGAACCATCATTACACAAGTTGTTGCTGAACCACACGCTGAAGACACTGACCATCAAGGTATTATTGAAGATTCCGTAAAACACATTACAACCCCAACAATCATAGAGGAAGACGATAAACAAGAGGAAGATCTATAACAAACACCCATAGACACAGTAATCAATGAAAACACATCATCCCCAAAGACACCAATAGCAACCCTAAATAAACCATGCGTTGAGGTGATTAAAGGAAATAGGACCCTGAGCAGGGGCATGTCAGTTGAGTTCGTGGCACCAACAATAATCAATAGGGAAATCGAGATCACGATTGAAGAATCCAATGTGGAGGATAAATTGGAATTCTGGCATAATGCTATGATTTTGTTCGCTTTAGAAGATTCCCTATCAATGAATGTTGTTAAGTGATTCATGGAGAATTCATAGAGTTTTGTCACGATGCTGGAACTATTTTACAACAACGAGGGATTCTTCATTGTCAGGTTCAAGAGTGAGCAGGATAGAGAAGCCTTCATGACTCAGGGACCTTACTTTATCTATGGAAAATCTATGTTCATCAAAAAATGGAGTCCATAGTTTGAGATGAAAGAGGACCTCTTACAAGTATTACCTTTGTGGGTGACTCTACCCAACCTACCACTGCACGTGTGAGGTGGGAGAAGCATTTCCAAGATTACAAGTGCAATTGGGAAACCAATCACAATTGATGAATGCACTACGAAGAAACTACGCATTTCATATGTTTGAGTTCTGGTTGAGGTTGACATTACGTAGAAACTGAAGGAAACCATCAATATAAGGGACCACAAAGGCAAACTATTGGAGCAAAAGGTAGAATATGAGTAGAAGCCAACATACTGTCAAAAATGCTTGAAGATATGACATGATTGTGAAATGAAAAGGAAGAATGAAAGGAATGCCAAAGTTTGGAAGCCTATCACAACTAAACCAAATCCTAGCCAACAAATACAGAAAGTGAATCAAGCACATGAAGGTAACATACCCCAAGCTACTAAGAAAAAAGACCACCCAAGGGAGAGTTTTGGTATGAACACACATGCCTCTACTCAACAAGATGAAGATTGGACTACTATCACAATAACAAGTAAAGTGGACAAAGGAAGGAAAAGTACGACACCCACACGTAATATTTCATTTGTGAAATTTCAAAATTCTTTTACTCCCCCTAGGATTGGAGATCATCTTAGGGGAGAGAATAATTTTGACACATGTTAGTCACTTGGAATGTTAGGGCATCAATAAAGAGGTTAGGCATAGAGATATAAGCTCTTATATCTCTACCTTTAGGGTACCAATCTGTTCCTTATTGGAAACTAGAGTTAAAAAAACAAAATGCTGAGAAAATTAGAAGGATTTTTGGAAACAATTGGAACTTGTAGATAATTATGATAATCATTCAAATGGCAGGATTTGGATTTTGTGGAATCAAAATAAAGTCAGAATTAAAGTGCTCAAATCCATAGATCAATTCATTCATGTAGATATGTATGCCCTGGATCAAAATCAGTTGTACACACTTAGTGTGGTTTATGCTTTAATTAACTTGAATATAGGAGGAATTGATGGAAGGATATAGAATCATGAGTAAACACTTCTCTGGCCCATAGATAGTCATGGGAGATTTCAATAATTTAGTTTCAAGCCAGGATAGAATAGGAGGAAAAGAGGTTACTGAAGCTGAGTATATGGACCTTGTAGACATGATGCAAGTAGCTGGACTATTTGAAGCAACAACTCAAGGTTCTCAATACACGTGGACTAATAAGTACACTACCGGGGTAATCTATTTTAGAATTGATAGAGTTTTGGGGAATGCTGTTGGGTATCATAAATTTC